AAATGTACAATTGTCTATCTTTACTTATATTTCCTTGTTACTTTTTATTCATTCACTACTTACTTACTTAAGTGGTGCAGAATTCTGAATTATACCAACTCTATGCCTATTAGTTATTTTGATTTTTAAACTTGATAATACAATGAAACATATTAACCATGAACAATAATCATTCTAGTTAAAACGTCAATCATTTTTTTATTACTAATTAAGTTATTTTTCCTTAAAGTTCATTACATTTTACATCCTTTAATCCATCTGTCAATTTCAGCAATGAACACATATTAATGTGATATAATTCGTCAAAATATATTAAGGACATATAATTCGAGTTATTATAATTTGTTTAGAAAAAAATTGAAAAACTAAAAAGTCATATAATCAACATTACAAATCATTTAATAAATAATAGGCTTTGAATCAGATACGTAGTGAACAAGGATTGTAGATAGTTCTGTTCAGTAGCTTAAAACATGGACATTTTTAAGATGGTTACCAAAATCGTAGTAAGTCGAATGCTAAGACTACCGGAATATCGGTTCGATTCAACAAGTGAAAACTTTATACTAATAAAATAACATTATCATAAGTGGAACATGTTAATGATTAGTAAAAGAATCATATATGTCAACACAAAGTTATCAGAATACCAAGTATTCCCTAATTAAAATAATCTTTACAGACAACATTCAAAGTTGTTTATAAAAAGTAGAGTTGGTTTTCGTCAGCTAGGCAACTATTGAAAATCAGAGGGCACTGAACAGCTGTTTTATTCTAGAGTGAGTCTTCAGTATGGTGAGACAACGGTCTGAAACAGACTGGATCTAGAATATTCAGTCCTTGTGGTGAGCACCATACTTTTGGGTCACTGATTCAAAATACAAATGTTTAGCAATTCCAACTCCACTTCACCTGAAATATTGTGAAACGATCATTTAGCTGATGTCAGTTCTTTATTGAAAGTGGCTGTCGAACTAAATGAATTCAACAAATCTCCTACCAAAATAATATAAATACCTTATTTAAATATATCACATCTGTGAGAAATTGTATTGAATTAGACTTAAAAATTCATTTCGAAAATTTTCCGTTAAAATTATCAGGATACACGATCAGTGTCAATCAAACTGGTTATAATGAGTAAACAAGAAAAGGTAAATTTAATACAGAGAACCTGTTACCTATTGTGTAAAAAATAACGCAGAAGTAGCAACACAACAAGAATGAATAGTACGTTTGTGAATAAATGAGAATCACGCTGATAGATATCATTTGATAAGATTTTTCAGTAGGAATTGCATACAATTTTCTCTACCCCATGTGTACGACTTCGTCTTTAGCCTGGCGTCTTTCAAGCTTCGACTAACAAGATTAGCTAATAAAAGCATATCCAAGGGGCGAGCCAATCAGAATTGAGAACGCGAATTCTGGACTTCTGAGCGAAATCCAAATATCATAATGCAAAACGAGGGCCAGGGATAAGCACGGCATTATCAAGTGTATCATAGTCACTAATTACCGTTATATTTACGTCTATTTACTCACTCCATTAAAGATATTTCGGAATCATTTCCATTACAAAATTAATTTAAATATGATGTTGTAATTTTTCTTCCATCATGACTGAGAGGGCTACCGCTAAACAAGTTCATCCCGACCGTTCCTGCTACCTTGACGTGGTGATCGGGCTTGCCTGTTGTGATGAACCAGTCGAGCTATTCTAGATGGAACAATCCTTCCTCAAAGTCCTACCATGCCAGACAGGTCGATTGAAGAGCCGTAAGAGTAAAAGCAGCAAACTCAAGGTCCGAAGGCGAAGTCGTACTGTACAGAGGCGTGACGGCAGTAAAGTGTTACCTTCAGAAAACCAGCATAACGCCAATACTGCCTTCACACAAGTAGGGGTGGGGTTAGAGAAAGTCGACTCTAAAGATGCACACCTCGCCTTATCCCACGGATATCCGTCTCCGGCGGTAAGGTCCCAACAAAAACGGAGCTAACACAAAAAGGTCGTATGTGACCGACTTCAAGCAGTTGTCCCTTGGGCACTGTGGTCACGCTCCCAGGTCATTAAGATCACTTCTAATCCAATTTTCTTTTTTAGAACCTTCAGAAGAACCCTTCCACGGTGTGGGCAACCAGGGAATGATAACTGCCCTCATACCTGTAACAGCACTCAAGATCATTGTATTCATAATCAATCTCCTTCTTCAATCCCTATTATTCCCCCAGCCTCGACTTTCAACACTAAATTTTCTCATTCGGTTTCCTCCTCAAGTGTCACCATGGCCAACGATTCTAGCGGGCGAAACACTGTCTCAGGTCTACTGAAAGATCGCTCCAAACTACACATTGAAGCCTTCAACGTACGTACCCTAAGTCAAGTCGGTCAACAGGCCTCCTTGGCTAAGACCCTAGAATCTCGTACCATTGATGTGTGGTCATTCACTTGACCTCACCTCGCCAAAAAGGAGACCCGACGAAATACACGCTCCGTGTATCTGGCGACCCCATGACTAGTTCTCGTGGACTTGCAGGTGTAGCAATAGCACTTAGTACAAGGGCAGAACAGGTACTATTAAAATGGATCCTCTTCAACAGTCGCCTATGTGCTGTTCGGCTAAATGGCTCCGTAAGAACTCGGAAGGACAGGAATACACGTCGTTTCTGCCTACGCTCCCACTGACTGCAGCCCTGATGAAGTGAAAGATGACTTTTACAGAATGCTCTCTGAACTCCAAAAAGCTAAGCGCTCAGACATAGTACTCTTAGCGGGTAACTTTAATACCCAATTAGGTAGCTTAAATCAAACAGAAAGACATTTAGGTGGGTATTTTAGTATTTCGGCTCAACGAACCGATAATGGTGATCGTCTGTTGCAACTATGCTCAGGCAATCGTTTATTTTTAGTAAGCACTAATTTTAAGCACAAAGGAGAGACATCATCTAACATGGCAACCACCTGCACCAAACCAACGATGGACTCAAATAGACCATATTGCCATCAGTCATCGTTGGAGAGGCTCGATAGGAGATTGTCGCTCGTATTGGAATACATGTTTAGACTCTGATCATGTTCTAATACGAGCACTCATTTGCTTGTGCCTTACTGGACGCAGAAGCACTACAATAAGAAGACCTATTAGGATTGAACTGGAGGACGAGAAAGCCGAATGTAAGTTCCAGGAACAACTGCGTTCACATCTAGGCAGTTCTGTAAACGAGGCTGACCCAGATGCTGCTTAAAAAAACACACGAACAGCTGTGGAAACAGCAGTAACATATATTAGTAATTGAAATCAAAGGGTTCCAAAAACACCAATAAATTTCTCCTAAGTCTATTTCACTGATGAATTCGCGTAAACTCATCCCATCAGGCTCTGAACACGACGAAGAGCGAAAACAAATCACATCTAGGTTAACCAAAAGTTTAATGAACGATCGTGAGCAGTGGTTGGCAGCGAAAGCAAAAGAGATGGAAAAGGCAGCGGCTGTAGGCAACACCAGGCCATCCTTCAGACTAATACAGGAAACCGGAATTAAGAAGTCAAGTGTAAGCGAGACAATCTCGGAAAAAGACAAAACCCTTATCTGCTCTCAGCCCAGACGTTTAAAACGATGGGCGGAACACTTTAAGGAGCAGTTCAACTGGCCTTCAGCTACTCTACAACTAACCACTATTCCCAGAAAATGTGAATGGAACATTGAAGTAGGTCCCCCGAATCTAGTTGAAGTTCAAAAGGCTATAACTAATCTGAAACGAGGAAGAGCAGATGGTCCAGATGGATTGGCTCTAGAGGTCTTCAAATATGGTGGCCCACTTTTAACGATTAGGTTGACTAATATCTTAGCTAAAATCTGGGAGTTGGAAGTAATACCATCTGACTGGTTGCAACCACTGATTGTCTCAACATGTAAGAAAGGATAAAAGTGATAGGTCCGTAATTAATCAAGAATAAACTTGGAAAACGTATAACAAACAAGTTTATGCGTCAAATAAAAGCTTACAACTAGGACAATATGAGAGTAAAATAATTCAAATCTTTAATAATTATGCAATAAAAATATAGACCATAATACTTCAAAAGATCCCAGCTAAAATATGACTCATACCTTCTCATGGGTCCTTGATTAATAGTAGGGATTATGTTCCATGAACTAATGTGACCAATAAAAGGGAAGTAGCCTAGTCTACTATCCTATCTTAAATTTGCATTAACAAATGTTTCCACCTGAGCCGCCTACATGGGCGTATCTATGCTTGTGTATAATATGAGAAGTATATTTCGACTCGAACTATTTATTTCAAGTATGCATGTAATGTATACTTGCTCCAAAAATGGCTGGGATACTTAACATGAACAGGTAGTAAATACGAAAAATGGGAGTGAAGACCATCTTGACCTTCCAGTCATGGCATTTACGCTTATGTGTATGATGTGGATTGCATAGGTTGATTTGATTCGTATATTTCAGGTGTGCATGCAGTGCGTACTTGCTAATATAAAAATATAAGCGTCCCTCTTACCCACTCCATTAATAGCAAATGCTAACCAGTGACTCCTTGTGATTTATGATCATATGGTTGTGCACTGAAAACATATCCAGGCTGGAGTATGTGTGGCGCTAAAGAGTAGAAACATCATCCCACTAAGCCAATCAACTTTCCAGAAGCCTTGAGATAATAGGTTGAGATAAAGCCACACACATACACACACTAGGACCTTCGAAAGATAGTTCTAAAAGTTTTATGTTCGTAGTATTCGCCCCAATGCAGTAGAATTTCAGTTTTACTTATAGCATTATGACCTTGGTTATGTGACAAATAATACAGTCAGGTTACTCTCCTAGATATATGTGAACATATATGTCAGGCTTAGTCTAATGGATATTAAACTATTTTTCTAGATCAGTTTGATTTTTATCGATCACGAGTCATCTTACTTATCAAAGCAGCTATAATCATTGAATCGGCGGTTTGTTTTCGAAAAAGGACTTACCATACTTCTGACTTCCTTTCTTTCTCATCAATTACAGTTCACCTGTTATTTGAACAAGGAAAATAAGGCCATAATAAGTAGGTTTATACCTCAGGTGTTCACATACAGTGCATTTAGTTTGAATATCATAATTTCAGCTCCCAACCAAAACATCTATAAAATATTGTACCGTAAGTCGTCGTAGGTTACTCAGTGCACAAGCATATAGTTTTATTCCGTTTATCTTAGAATTGTTACTTAAACTGTGTGCCGACAAAACGACGCCACCAATACAGATACTGGTGTAGATGGAGATTGTCTTGATTTTCGATCTAATCGGTAAGATGTAAGGTATATATTCTAATGTCAAAACGACTCAGCAGAATAAAACATTAGATTATTCAATAAACCCAGTGTGCAAATTATTTCATTTCAAATAATACCAAATAGTTGTATTCAAAGTCTAATTTTACCAACTGAAAATATCAGTCATAAGCAACGTGGGACTTGATAAATGACATAAGTAATAGAAGTAGTAACAGTAACAGTGTTAGTAGAAAGCATCAAGTATAAATAACATGATTCAAGAAGAAAGAATAAATTTGTGAAACAGAAAAATACAGGATAGTTTTAAAACGCGTTGGTTAAATTAAGAATAATTCTAAACTATTTCATTCATTATTTCCAGAAACTGGTTACGACAATAGAGCTCATACCAACTTTTTAATCTCCACGCACCAATATGGTTCAACCAACAGTCAATGACGATACAATGGGACAATCAAAAGTCGCCAAATGAGAAGGCCACTTTATGAGAACCAAAGATCTAATTGAAAAGTGCGTGTTATTGGTCAGGAAATGGCTTTGTTTTCTAAGAAGTAGGCATATATTTAGTGAGTGCTCATACTCAGTTTAGCCCAATAAAATCCCTCCTTCGCCCTTAGTCCTTTCACTTAGTACCCAGTTGTGGACTTGAATACAGGAAGCTTTGTGCATCATTGTCAGTCTTGTACAACGCCTGTTATAACAAATGGCTTCATGGACTGATCCCAAGTCTTGATATGGCTACCCTTAGTTTTCTTCCAACCCACTCCTCCTACAATAGCGAACATTGCGTGAACCAACAATCTAAAGTTTGGATATTTAGTGGATGAATATACCATTATCAATCGTGCTGATATACCTCAGTTAATACAAAATAAATATTGTACTCGCATATTTAGAAATGATTGTGAATCCTTAATAAGATTCTCATAAACACTAACATTTACTAATCAGCTACTCCTGAATTAATATTTTAACTACTCAACAAATAAAATAAACAAGAGACAATTATCTATCAAAAAGATGCATTCTAAACTTATTCACAAATCGATACTAACTGAGGAACCAGTGAAAACCACGGGCCATAAAGTATCTTTTTTGTTTTAGTATGCAACTCCATAGAAGTCTACACCTGGAATTATTAGCCATTACGTTCTGAGCATTGAGTTGATCATCAATATTACCAAATTCATTCAATATACATTTAATCAATACTGACAAATACACACGAAAAATGAGAAGAATAATTACATTGTATTCGGACAATCAGTTTTCAGTGGTCCAGAGTCAGATTGGAACTTGCCTCCACCTAAAGCTGAATCATGTGAAGACATGGAATTCGGTGATAAATCAGAACAAGATGATTCCCTTGTTGTTGTTGTTATAGTTGTTGACGTGGAAAGAAGAGAATCTGGCCGAAGTGAATTACAAGATGAATTATTTTGTGTTTGGCCAAGATCAACAATATTACTATTATTCGATATATGATCATTTGGAATATTTGAAGGACTTGGTGTTGGTGGTGCGCCCAAAGTGATCAACTGGTGATTATTATTATGACCAGTGGTAAAGTCTCCATTGACTTTAACCATATTTGGATAAGAAATCTGTTCACTGGGAGCTAAAAAGAATATGGGAAATCAATTTATAAGTATGCAGTAAATAATATTGTGATATTTGACTTGAACCTGATTACTTAATTCAAAAATATTTAAACATCGAAAGGGGTTAGTAGCACTATGATTATAGTCATAATTCCCTTTTAATGAAATCAGGTCACATCTAGAATAATATATCCACAAACAAATGGGTCTTCAAATAATTATACAGTCTAGACTGCAATTTTCATCAACAGTTGATATTAGCCGAAGAGCTAGTGAAGGATATCGAAGACAATGGAGTTATTTCGCTCTAGTTTAAAGTTACATGGCAGTGAACATTTATAAGCCATCACTTGACCGGACACAGAATGTTGTTGTGTAGTAACAGGTTCACGATACTTTTAAGAACTCGTGGGATTCAGGATACATAGTTTATCTTACTCAGGATTCGTTAAAATGTCATAGGAAACACCAAACCGTTGCAACTAATTAACATCTAAGCTGTTTAATAAGAATGACATTGCATAACCATGCACACTACATTAAATAATGCTTGAAGATCAAACATTTCCACAATTAAAACAAAGGACAAAAATGTTTGGATTTTACATAAAGAATATTTCATTTAAAATATACATATATATTCGTCCGAACATTATAATCGTTTAGTTTAAAAAAACTCTCTACAAAATGATTGACATAAGGCATCTTACGGAATAGGGTGAGAGATATACAAACACAAACATGCACATTTAATGCAAAACAAACATAGTGAACAATGTAAGAAATGAAACTCCAAACTGTGATGACGAAATATAAATCAATGAAGAAATAACAGTACTAACACTAAAAAATAGTTTGAATAATATTGTTTTTAAAATAAGACATGAAAAAGAGAGAAAAGACGTCGAATAATTATTAGTAATATAATTCCTAAACAGAGATCGACTGAAGAAAATAAATTAGGTGGGGGAAGGAGGAAAATTCAAGGAGCAAATTAACAATCAAAGGTGCAACCACAGTTTCAAGGTGATAGTAAATGTCCTCTTTTTAAGAAGACGAAACAATCTTTTTTTCCCAAAGAAAATGTGCAAATAGTATAGAGTGATTGATGATTCACGTTAGATAATATTGATAAAAAGGAAGGAATGATATAATAATTTCCCCAAACATGAAAACAAGACAGAGAAAAAAAAGAAAAAGCTATCCTTTTAGGTACATGAAGATATATATAAATTTATGCATTAACGAATTAATTAGAAATTCTATTTTATGCTCTTTTAGTATAAAATATTCCAAAGAGATAAACTGGTATATATTTTCTTTGTAGAAAGGGTCACACAATAATGTTCTCAAAATACCATCATCACCAACAGACGACATTATCACGATTATTTAAGAAAAACTTGACTTCCGGTTTCAAATTTAAACTCCACTGCTTACTTTTGTTTTGGAAAGTTGGATAATATTGTTAACTTTCACACAAAAAATCTATGGCTCAAAGTTGGTTACTTGGTTATTGAGTTGTATTAGATAGGAATTGAATTCAAGTCAATAATTCAGATGTGATTAGCAGTTATAATTTATTACGACTAGGAGATTCCTAAGATGATTTCAGAATTTTCTATAATTTGACGCAAAACTGTTACCGGCATTAAATATAAAACATTGAGATTTTATAGAGTTATGTACTTGGATTATACAAAATAATAACCTTTCAATTAACATTTGAGTAATCCGTTCAACAATTCAAAAGATTACAATTGTGACAGCCGGATGAAAATAATATTTAATTCTTTCAGTTATCAATTACGAATATCAATGGTGAATATACTTATATATGAAGTTAAAAAGTTATTATCGAACTAATTTTTTTTGGTGGGAGGAATACTAATTTTTATCCTACTCTATTGATCCTATGCTACTTATGTTCTATGAATTTAAAAGGAGTTCACTACATACGATAAAGGTCCATATTCGTTTCCACTTTTAATGAACAATAATTAATTTATTAGCCATTTTTGGTATACCGACTGCTTAGATTTCCCAACTAACTGTATTTTGGATGTGTCACATTGTTCATGTTAATGCTGACGTTAGTAGTCAGACTTTAAATACAATAGCGATTAGTTCAAGCCCCAGAGCATTATTGATTAGGTTGTACAGTGACGATAACTATAAACTTTTTTTAATTGCTATGATATTCATAATTAATCGTAAAGATTATTTTTACATTTTTAGGTATACAGAACTACACAGATTTGATTAGTGATCATCTTGTCTTAGATGTTTAGTCAGTTATTGTTTAGTGTTTGAGAAGATCGATATTGGGTTCGCGTTCCAGTATGGGCGTAAACTTTGGGATACAAATACATTTAACTGACAAGATTGCCAATCGGCGAAATGTGTGTGTGTGCTAGTCATGATTTAAGATTTAATATTAAACTCATATTTTCAAAATCGTACAAAAGCAATTTTATATAGTATCACAAAAGAAGTTTGATAATTGTATGGTACTTAATGTTACAAATAATTATGAGTGAATAAAACAATACAAATGATCTTGGAGTTCCATGAAGAATTAAAACGCACAATGAATCTACTCGTTTAAATCAGTACGAAACTCTTTTTCTGTCGTTGAATCGGTAATGATTATAGTCAGCAAAATGTAACAGTTTTTAAGTTTGATATAATTATATTCCAAATAAGTTTCGGTTATTATGGAGCAGTTATATTATATTTAGATATTTTCATACTCTATATTGTGAAATGATTGTATTACATAGTTTGCATTGCTGCGCTGAAATTATTAACAAGTATTTTGATCTTAAACAAACACATTTAAAAAGCAAAACAGATAAATGTACACTTTCAATAAACCATATGATAGAAAAAGTTCAATTTGACTGCAAATACCATAAACTATAAAAACACTTTATGGTTGGGAATAATATTGAGTAGGCTTGATGTTTAGAAACTTTAAAATAAAATCAATAGTATTTATATAACATAAACCTCACCTTTATCATTAAAAACAAGGGAAGAATAACTGATTATCACTTAGTATCACGATTTAGTCGAAAATGGAAATATGGATCACCGGGTGCAAGTAACATGTCTTGAGGGATCTGGGTTCGACATTCAGCGAACTCGTGTATTTAAAGTGTCAGGAAGTCTTCATACTATGGTGAAACAACTGTTGGAAGCACCCTGGTTTTAATGGTTGTCAGTGATGCGAATTGTCTTCAAATAAACTCTACTTTATGATGCTATTTCAACCATTTTGTCCTCAAGATTATTACTTCGTCATTACAGAGTATGTGGAGTATGAGAAAAATAAAACATAACTTTACAACGTATTCTAATATGTCTGAGACTAATAATGTTTCTTAATAAAGATGCGATCGCTTGAGTTTAAACAATCAAACTGAGTTGATGCTTAATTTGTGTGCGAAATAAAACGCCAGCAAAGCTGAATGGTAATGAGAAAAGAATTTTTAGTACACACCTTAACAACTTAAGGCTTTGCAAATTAAAAAGCCAGTAACTTATTAGTTTAGGATTAAGATGAATGGCTCTAAAACGACGACTTAGTCCATACACCAATTATTGTTAACAGAAAAACCAGTTACCGAGTTGGATTTACAATGGAATTGTTGTAATACTGTTAATTCCTAATTTCATAATTCTAAGAATATACTGTCAGTCCAGAAGTCTACAACTGAAGAAAGGAGATAATTTTCATTATGTACTGATGTCAGCTGAAGAACCAGTGAGAACACGAAGACACCAAACAGCGGTTTAGTTCCAGCTTTCAACTCCTAAACACTATGTACTTACAACCACAAACGGAATACAATGTTGAACCTTCAGTTTATGCTATGGGTGTGGTACCTTTAAACCAGAGTTGGTGGCTAGTTGTGATTACGTAGTATTATCCTCATCGGTAAGTAGTTCTCTTTCCAGAAGTGGTTAACACAACAGACCATGACTTTCAAATATGACAGACGGGATCCCACTTCAGGGTTTGTCATATGATCTGGAATCAGCTGAAAATAACATCCTGGCTCCTTCTTATTCAGACCATAACTTAAGAGTGCTCATCCACGATTCCTCCGAGGGACTCAAACTCTGGACATTTAGTCCAGCGCTAATGCTTAACATCGTTGAATCAAGGCTCAGTGGTCAAGAGATTAAGCGTTTGTGGATTGCCACTGCTGAAGAATCCCATACTAGGACGAAACGGCCGTCCCGTGCTTCCAGGTTTTCATTGGTGACCGAACATTATTCGGCTTATGATCTAAATAAAAACTAAACAGTTTCCATAACCCTGAACTCATAAATCAGTATACTGCTGGATCTAGTGAGATTTAGCTGGTCAGATAGTAACTGTCAAAAAAACTTAATACACGCTAGTTTCCTTTTCACGAAATGGGATATATATAATCGTCTGTTTACAAAACTTGAACTAACCAGGAAAAATCAAGTAAACAAATTAATTTTATGCTTGGATTACTTGGTGATCCACCAGCCGATCATGACAACTAACAAATAACCATAATACCAAGTCCTGTCAACAGTGATCATACATACATAAATGATACTTCCTGAATATACAAACCTTTCATCAACATGTATCATGTCAAGATGTATGAATAAAAGCCAGATGAAACGATGACTAATAAATGCTACTCGATTGTAAATTTACGAGCTACGCAGCTATGATAATTTTGCTTTTAGAGTGGTTGTTAAGAAAGCCATTATTTCAAATTCATAGGGAATGAACAATTTTTAGCTGGTCTATTCATATTATTTTTATACAAACAATATCAGTGTTAATAAAGCATAGCACATATATATATAGATATATACTAACGGCTAATAAATCACGCCTTTGATTTGAGCCGATACAGTAAGAGGATTTTAGAAATTTAGGCGATCAGATTAAAAGATAGGAATATGGGAAAGGTAAGAAACAAATTAATAAAAAATAAACCACATAAAATTATTAATTTCTAGTGTTATCATCTCCACATCAACTTCATTAACTACGAGAAGGCATTTGATGGCGTGGACATGACAACACTATGGAGGCTTCTTCGGCACTACGGAGTGCCGGAGAAGATAGTCAATATCATACGGAACTCCTATGATGGACTAAACTGCCACATTGTCCATGAAGGACAACTCACCGACTCATTCGAGGTAAAGACGGTGTTAGGCGAGGTTGCTTACTCTCACCATTTCTCTTTCTCCTGGTCATCGACTGGATCACGAAGACGTCAATATCTGGAGGAAAGCACGGGATACAGTGGACAGGCAGGATGCAGCTGGACGATTTAGACTTCGCAGATCATCTGGCTCTTCTATCACACACGCAACAACAAATGCAGGAGAAGACGAACAGTGTAGCAACAGCCTCAGCAGCAGTATGTCTCAATATAAACAAAGGTAAAAGCAAGACTCTCTGATACAATACAACATGCATCAATCAAACTACACTTGACGGAGAAGCTTTGGAGGGTGTGGAAACCTTTACATATCTGGGCAGCATCATTGATGAACACGGTGGATCGGATGCAGATGTGAGAGCAATGCAAGAGCAGCATATTTACAACTGAAAAACATCTGGAGCTCAAAACAATTGTCAACCAACACCAAGGTTAGAATTTTCAATACAAATGTCAAGACGGTTCTTCTGTATGGGGCGGAGACGTGGAGAACTACGAAAGCCATTATCCAGAAGATACAAGTGTTTATTAACAGCTGTCTACGCAAGATACTTCAGATCCGATGTCCAGACACTATCAGCAACAAGTTACTGTGGGAGACAACAAACCAGATTCCAGCAGAGGAAGAAATCAGGAGGAAGCGCTGGAAGTGGATTGGGCACACCTTGAGGAAATCAGCTAATTGTGTCATAAGACAAGCCCTGACATGGAATCCTGAAGGTCAAAGGAGAAGAGGAAGACCAAAGAACACATTACGCCGAGAAATAGAGACAGACATGAGAAGAATGAACAAGAACTGGATAGAGCTAGAAAAGAAGGCCCAGGACAGAGTGGGTTGGAGAAAACTGGTCGGCGGCCTATGCTTCATTGGGTGTAACAGGCGTAAGTAAGTAAGTAAGTGTTATCATCATCAGTGCCAGTGTGAATGAGATTAAAACAGTTAGACTGAGCTAATTTCTACAACATATCATTATAACTATGGTATATGTACATAAGTACATATACGTTGATCGAATAAATCATTACTAAAGTAAACTGTACAGTAGACAAAAAGCCTATAGCTTATTTTTTTATGGACACATTAACAGGTGCAAACGAATCAGGAAATAGATAAACTGAAATAGGGAAACAATGAGTTAAAATTCTTTAGAGGAAATAATTTTGGCCTATTTTACATACACAAAAAGAAAAATTTTTTCCTTTATTCTATAAACATAGTGGTTAAGTAAGCGTTAGTAATAGTGAGGTGAAACAGATGTGATTGAAAGTAATTTCAAACATATTAGTAGTTTGAGCATACAACTGAGTGAATAAGCTGTCAAATGAATATGTTTCTTTACAATTAGTGTATTAACGTAAAAATTGAACTAGATAAATAAACAGATTCAAGTACACATCCTCGACTTCAAAAATTTCCTACATTCTATACAAAAGCATGTTTTGTTTTATTATCAAATAGGAGAATGAAAATTGAAGCAAAATAATTCTAACCGATAAAAGTGTAATTCTTTGTTGTAAATCCCAAATGTTGTATTAATTAAGTATAAGAAAAGTGTATTTCCGAACAATGTCTTCTAATTTCTAATCAATCAAACACTCGTTTTATTTGATACACTTCGTAACTTTCAATATTTTTCACGCAGGTCAGTCACCAAGTACAAGTTCATGCACTCGGCTTTGAGTTATATCTTTCATAATACTCGAAATTACAACTCGCTTATCCAAACAGAAGTAGAAAAAATAAGATATTAATCTGAAACCGAATGGTCAAATCCGAGTGCTTTAACTACTTACTCACTATTATACAGTCATTTGTGTTTATATTCAGATGAGAAAACTGAGCAGCTAACACGAGGAAATGAAGTTAGTTTCATACAGCACATTCACATGGAAGTCATGTGCTTTTCTGATCGATTCAACTGAAACTGAGACCTGGCAAATAATTTCAGCCAGTAGATCACTATTTTAACCACCGGTTTTATCGAATTAAAATATTACCAAGTTTAAGTAAATTGTGAGTAATTGTTAAAATGTAGCAGGTTTCCAAAAGTTTGAGAGTTGTTTATGATTTGAAGAAACCATTTACTAAGCATATATATGCGCGAAAAATTCTGATTACAAAAGTTGTTTTTCTAAAATTAGTAATCTGTATTTATTTCAGGTTGAATACATTTCCGTTGAATGAGAAGAATAATGCAATAGTCCGAATTGATTATTTATGAGTCCATAATTTAAAAATTAAATATAGATGCACCCTAATCACATTGAAAATCTATAAACCCAGTATAAGTCCACTGGTTTTTACAATGATGTAGTCTCAGTGAAAACAACATTAATAACATACTATCATGACTCAAGTGATATAAAACTCACTTTTCATGAATACCGATGTTAATTTCAATCTATAATGCAACATATACCTAAAAGGTTTTAATACGTTAAAAAGAACTAATATTGTATCTTATTCATTCAAGTAATTCATATAAGTATGGATGTCTTCAGCAGTCGAAATTTAAAACAAAGTCATAACAAGTAAATCATCAAAACAGAGAAAGAGAATTAATAACTGTATGGGCGTCAAATGAATAAGTTAAGAATATATATATATATATATATATATATATATATATATATATATATATATGAGCACTTGAAGTTATACGAGAAGCTAATTAGACGGAAACAGTTTTTCATCAGCTTCCCTTTTATTGTTTTGAAAACAAACTAATCAATTGTCCATCTGGAATAAAAACATTGACTAATATTGATTTCATAGTATTTCCCTGCAACTAGATGGTTCCCTATCTTATGTGAATGAAGCTTCAGTTGAAATTTAATATATTTGAGGGAAATTAAACAGTTATCCAATATATCAATTTAGTTACATTTCATATAAGAATACTTTCATACATACAGATAAATAAAATCTAACAGAAGATACGTTTCCGATGACTGGCAATATTAGTTAATGTGTCTCTTAGAATAGACTGAATGTTATTTATTTTGAGGTAGCACTGGACCGCCACAGATGCACGACACGATAAATCCAAGATCTTTTAATTAACTGATAATGTTAACTTAATTACGCCAAATTAAATTTCAGCTAAGAAGCCTTTTTCATCTTCGTTTTTTTGTTCATAGATCAGTAAACTTCGTCCATTGGGTGTGGTTTTTAAAGAAAACTTTCATAAACGTAAATCTCAAATTCCTCGCAGTTATTCCTACAACTATTTTATGTATTAGTATGCATGTTATCGTGAATACATTTAGTTTACATATGAACAAATTGTCTCTATATATACAATAGTGTATAGTGTTGATGTAAAGATAAATATATTCAGTCCACTAAAAAGTACTCTTCACTTCACACAAGATCGAACTCAACAACTTCAGGCTTCGTGATACACATTTAATAGTTAGGATTTTCAACTATATTGTCTAATTATCAACTTAGTCAAGTCTGAAAAAAACTGTTTTTTGGAAAAGATATACTCGTAGGCTCCAAGTCTGGTTAATTAAATTTAATGGGAATAAAAAAACTCAGGTCTAATAAAAATGTCTAATCAGTATAAGGAATTCCAATTGAGGTTGAAATAACAAAAACTTGACAAATAATTTTTTAATGAAAAAAAGCACTTTTAATTAAAAGGTAATTATAGTACCTACATTTATTAGTTTTACGTCCTGGTGAATGCTTTATTTCACAAGAATAACTACGGGAATTGACGAGTAGATTTGGACTATTGGTAGTAACAGTACTCTGATTATTATCATTATTATTATTGTCATATGTAAAACAGCATTTGGAACAGACTTCTGAATATATAGAAGAGGTGAAAGGATTATACAAAGGTTGATATTGCTGTCTCTTGTCCAATAACACAAATGAATCGGAATATTTCATTGAATTTGGAATATCTACACATTCAGAGTTAGATTCCAAACAACACGAATCTTTCATAATGGTAGGTGTTGATGATGTTGTACACGAATTAACAAAATTACCATGTAATATATTAGCATTGATAGATGTTTGATAATTTGATTGAAGATATAATTCATGGTTAATTGGAGTTTTATCTTTTATTGGAAGATCATATGATGAATTGTCAATTTTCGATAATTCCATTTGATTGTTGTTAATAATACTAGTAGTAGTAGTAATAGCAATAGCATGTATTTTATCATTGTTAACAGGAAAACATGATGTTAGATAGGATGATGATTTAGGATACAATTCGGATGGAATTACATTACATTGATATGACAAACCATTGTCTAAATAACCTGATGGCTTTTTAATTTTACAGAAAAAAGAAAAAAAAAGAAAAAAATTCAAAATTATAATCGAATCATAATATTAATAATAATGGTCAGTGACACTAATTTCCTTCACCTTAACGAAATTCAGTAATAAAATACAAGTCTATTTATTGGTGATTTTGAGCAGCACTTCAAGCGTAAAAACTAAGGTTGGTAAACAATCACTTGAAAAACGGCAACTGAAAGTAGAGTGCACTAACTAATAAACCAGCTTTTTTCATATACATATTTCCTCTTATTATCTTAAAGAGAGCAAGAAAGAAGATTGATGCAGAGTAATATGAATTCACTTTATTTTGTTAGGTTCTCATCAGCTGCTTACAACCTAAAATATTTGAAAATCAACATTATTACAGATATTGACATACTTATGCATACGAGGGTGATTAAAGATGAATATATCCTGTAGCGAAGATTCAGATAGAGTTAATAAAGTCATAAGAAATTTTGTTTCGTACAAATAAAGTTTGGGAGGGAAAGTCCCAGAACATTGAAATAGTGATTAGAAGTAATAGAGTTAACAAACATTAGATGATTATGTAATGAAACAACTAAAAATAGATTAATGGTAATAAAGAAAGATATGAATTGAAATCGGTCAGCTATGAATTGAAGAAAAATGACAATGCTGTAGTTTTGAACTTCAGACAGAGTTGAAATAATGAATGACGCAATAAATAAAAAAGAAGGGGTTTAAGGTTACCAGGGCAAAGAAAGATTTATTAGTCTCTTTTTGGGTACTATGTTTTCAAATCTGGTTTCTGACTGGTTGTAGAATTTCCATCAACGATTTGGAAATTGCACAGTATGTATAGTTATTATAAATTTATATATATATATACACGATTGGTTCTTAAACGCCCAAGTACATTCAGGTGTGGAAAACGTCCATTCTTTCTCTCAAAATGCTCTCATACCACGTTTATATTTCCTACCACGAAAGTCCTAATTACTGCCTTCTAGAGTCTCGGGTATTGTTTAGAAAAGTGAGAGGATGAAAAAAGAAAGTCCAGTGCTTAAACCGGGTTGAAAGATAAGTAGGATACACCTAGGGAACTTGGAAGACCATGATCCCAAACTAGTGATGACCACGGGTTTCAGGATTCCAGAGGCATGAATGTTGTATAAACTGATTTCGATCACCAATAATCATAGAACTGAATCATATGAAACTGTACCACTGCATTGTGAATTAGGCCTCTAGTTCAAAGGCTAATGGAATAGCCTCTCAAGAAAACTACCTATTCCGGTTTGAGGGGCCGGACAACGTTCAAGCCCATTCGCAAGTATGATAACTGATAATCACGAAAAAATGATCTATTCACTCAGTTTCCTTACTAAATACAATCATTGAAAGCTATTTTCAAGCTACTCAACCATCACTGCACTTGCTTTTTCCTTTTTTTTGAAAAACGAACCAACAGCCTACTAGAAAGTACACAATCCTGTCTAATGAACAAAGTTTATTTATTTCAATAATATTGACTATTGACTGAAGAACAACATTTAAGTACTCTTAAAACACACACGTCAGTAAATCCATAACTTGGAGACTATTTTCTTACCAACCTAGATGATTAATGCATACTTAGTGTGCAGTCTTACAAAAACATACTGCTTGTATTGACTTCAACAAAGGGTACAAAATAAAACCTCTTGACATTACATATGTACATATGCATACATATTCTAACTAAAAAGAATCATTTGTACAGGACTATGTAATTTATTTTTTAGTAAAAAGAAAAAAACACTATTCAGAATTCAAAAACATTTAGATATGTTGAAGCACGTTCAGCATTAAATGTAAGACATACGTTAAAAAAATTAACAATGGCGACTACTAATCATGAAAGCATATATACTATAATTTTATTTATGTAACATAAATAAACTGAATAAGTTTGTTTTCACTTACTTAAGAGACTATTAATCCTATATAACACAGATGACACATATATGACTGAAAGGTATTATTTATTAATTTCCCAAAGTCACTTAGACTTTTAGTGATCACATTCACGTTTAACTATTGATCAACCGTAGTCCTTAAAATCCTGAGACGTGAATTATATACTTCCGATTTAATAAATACCACAATACAATGTAGATGAAAGACAAGGATTATTGCCATTATGATGCGTAGTTTATAAACACAATGAACTATATTAATTATGCCATGAAATTATATCATTTTATTTATCTTAAAAAGCAGTTTACTTGGTGGAATAGAGCATTTAGAAAGGCGTCATACCGAACAACATGATAATGAAGCGGAAAAATAAAAGTCTAAAGTCTGTGAACTGTGCAATTATCGGATTATGACCCCACACAAATACACGTTATTCCAAAACATTATGTTTTGAAGTCCATATTAAACTTAATAAAATGGTGTATCACAAAGGTCCTATACGACATACCAAGAAGTAGTACTAAAATCTGTTACTCACTAGACGCTTTCCTAACTTCATTAATCCTATTGAATAACAATATAGGAGTATGGTGATTTAACAACTAAGTTTTTGAAACAGAAAAGTACTTCAAACTCTTTATTTGACAATTTCTCATTTGAAAAGTAATATATTTGTGTAAAAAAAGCACTTAACATTCAATGGGAACTTATTCAAATAACGTATGAATTTAAATTAGCTTAGCAATAGAACAGAATGAAAGTTATGTGTTAACAACTTACAACACAACTATGGTCTTGTAGTTCCGGAACACTTCTTGATAAAGAAATTTGTGGAATCAAATTTGAAACGAACAAATTACTATATTTATTTCTTTGTGTTAATGAATACTTATCAATATGGTTGATCTCAAATTCTGCAGCGCTTTGGTATGAATATACAGATCGAGGAGCCGAAGAAGATCGACAATATTGTGTTTTATTATCACGTTTATGCTTATCCCTTGAAAAAGAACGTTTACGTAGACGTTGTAACAGACTATCAGCACCAGATTTAAGTCTTGCTTTCGATGGTTCTTGACACATGTATGTGAAATTTTTTTCAGTGTGTACAATGCAATGATGTGAACCGGTAGGATTGATAGAATTTAAACGATTAGACGATCCTATATCAGTTTGACGAAATGGTCCACGTGAATGCCATTCAAAACATCCAAGCTGTGATGGAAATCAAGAGACAATGGATAAAAGTTACAGTAAGGCGATAGTTGGGAAATTAATCACGTGGAATTAGCGTTACTTCATTATCCGGGTATTTAATAATAATAATAATAATAATAATAATAATAATAATAATAATAATGTGACTTTCAATAAAACTATAAATACTCTTTGAACTTATTAGGACTGTAACCAAATTATCGCGCTTTTAGAATTTAATAGGCAGGTGTAACTAACTAACTACACTGGATAATGATTGCGTTCTATCATAAATTGATTGAGGTTACGAAAAATGTGGATCATTAGATTTCAACACAGTGATCTAAATGGATTGTGTTTGCAACAAGACTTGAAGATCCAATATGAGGTCTTAGAGTGAACTGATGAGAAGTACCAGACTAGGATGGATTAATTGTCTAGTGCTCCAAAGCTTTCAATAGTTTCTCAACGGACATAAAATTTATACATAAAACAACTTTTTTCAAGTAAAGGCTTTACTGAAACGTCTGAGCATTCAAAGATAGTTTTTGTTAAAAATTGGTAACAACTGAAAAATTATCAAATAAATTAGTGAAATACTGAACATATATTCTGTTTCGCTTACAGAAGCATAGTCATAAATTATTTCAAGATAGAACTTACATACTGAACAGAATTTGACAGTATACCTTAATGAGTGAAAACCGAGAGGTTGGATAAGATATTTAATTTCCCGGTCTATCTGACATAGCATGAAAATCCTTGTAAAGATATGAAGGCAAAAATAATGAACAACAGGTGTAGTCAACGTACAAATGCGTATAGGTCAATGTACTAATTATTAAAGTACTCTATTTTTAACCACTTGGTTCCATGTGTAAGTCTCACACCAACTAATTCAATTTGGATAGTTTTGCAATAATACTAACTCTTAAAATATAATATGGCACTCAAAGTCATATACTCAAACATGTAAATGATGACTGAGTTACTAATCAATACAAAAAACACTAATGGTAGAAACAATTGAGAGACTAGAATTTCTTATTCACAAATCGTAACCTGGAAAAAAAACAAGATTAGAGAATCTATTTACAATAAACAAAACCAATTAAATAAAACATTGAATCATGTTTAGAACAGCAAAACTCTTGCATAGTATGAAGTATAAGCAGATAGACATTCATTATCACACATAAATAAAAAAGTTCAGTAAGACATGGTTAGCAATGAATTAAGCTATAACCTCACTAACACGCAATAAGCACTACCGAATGGCTTTTTTAGATATGAATCACACAAAAGAACAGAGAATGATTAATCAGAGGTGAGATTTAAAGAATTAATTTTAAAAGTACGATGTTAAGCTTATCAGTCACTTTAATTATCGAAGACTAGCCTTGATTGACACTTTGATTGCTTTATACGCACATAAAAGAGCTAGAGCTTTCTAAGTTATGGCCATAACATTTCAACAAATGAATTACAAAACCCTACCGAGAATAAGGTGCTAATATTATTTCATTTACTGAGTTGTACGTACCTTCACAGAATGGTTGGAATGTAGCTAGCAGTAGAAACAAGCACACCAGTGTCGTCCTGTTTGGGACTCGTCAACTGGATAGACCTCCATACCTGAGTTTATATACACTTCGGAATTTAAAACCAATACCTCTCACTTCAAACGCAAAACACATCATTTACTTAGCTACTGAATTCAGATAACCACTGATTTGTGTAACGGGGATGAATTTTGATTAAACATGTAATGGTTTGAGGTGATCCAGTTGTTGATATTTTTAATTGAATTTTGATCAGTCTTAGTTGGTATGCGTACACCCTATGTGAACTGTCACAAGTTTTTGTAGATTTTTACATGTACGTACAGCTAAAATGTTTAAAGTAGAGTGAAACGTACGTTCTCGATTCCAGTCTATTAACCACACTCCATCCATTCTGTAGAAAAATGTGACATAATTAATGTATTAAGGTAATCGACACTTATGCCAACTAAAACTGACCAGAATTCACTCAAAAATATCAACAAGATAATGTGAGCAATTAAAAATTATTACTGTTATTAGAATAATAACACGTTTCAATTATAAGACTAATCACTATGTCATCATTGTTTGCCCACCCAAAACAAAAAGCAAAACAGTGTCATCAACAATCCCTTTTTCAAATAGCATAGTAAATACTTTAGTGGACAAGAGTCTACTCATTTGCCCCATTGCCCTAGTATAGACTCAAGGTCAATTAAAAAAAATATATAGTATCAACTTATTAAATGAACACTGAAAGTTTAGGTGTGGTCTTACGTGAGTCATTTATGCACCAGAAACTTATTCATCAAGGCTGATAAATGAGAGCGAATATCCCTATCTGTGGCACGTTACTATTGCCAATATACCTAAGCTACAAATGAAAGTGGTTATACTATTTTTTTGATTGATTAATTCAATCCTGTGACTGATGGATGATAAAATCAAACCGATGATACTTCGATTACGTAATTTAATGCTCCAATCACATCTTTAGTAATTTCAAACTCCATCAAGTTAATAAAACTGTTCAATCACCTGAGAACTATGTTAGGTTAACCACTTTCTCCCTATGATCGACTTTATTGATCTCAAAGTCTTTGATAATCGGTTTCATTTGTCTGGCAGACTCCAACCAGTAAACATATTGCCTCTAAAATAGTTTACAGCACAATTTAATCACTTCATACACTGATAGTATGACTTAGTCCACAAAACTTAATTTTCTCCAAACAACTTCTACGTTAGCTATCGTAAAACGTTTAAATAAATGACGGGTGAATATCTGTAATACATAAACAGCTAGATGAAAGTTTATCACATCAGAAAGAGCTTTATTTTATTTATCAACTATCGCTGCACTCCCCTCCAAATAATGGTTCAGGAAAGTGTGAGCAATATTTGGAAACCGAATACTTGTAGCCACGTTTCACAAAGAGTGCAGCACACCGGTTCTTGAATGTGTAATATGACAGTCACCTGAGCAAATAGCAGTGTTGGTTGATAAAAGTTAGATGATCCTTACGTTTCAGTGCCAAGACTACGTCAGTTATATGTCAATCAAGGGTGACAAAGTTCATAACGTACATAAAGTGGTAAACGCTCTGAATCACTTACCTATCTGGCATCAAACCAAGCATCGAATAAAAACTAGATACAAAACAATATAGAAGGTGATAAATACATCCCGAACATCCTCGTATTATCATCTAGAAAGCTTATATAACCCTGTATCACACGAGGACTATGTACACATAATCTGATTAACTGAAATAGATTGGGTGATCATATAGAAAATATCGCCTTGGGGCTCAAATGCACTTTGTTTTACCATGAGTTTGAAGCATTATCGGTGAACCATGCGAATTATAACCAGCTGTTGATCAAAGCCGAAAGATCAATAGCTAGGTGTGAATGACAATCAATTAATAATAATAATAATCAACGCTGTGAATCAACTGGTGACTTCTGATAAGTGAACAACACAAGTGTACTTTCCAGACAGTCTAGTTTTTGCCCATTCACAAGAGATTTAATGATACGAGAATAGGAACAACAAAACTTGATGAAAGGGAAACCGAACACAATCTAGATAAGTGCTATTTAGTAGGCAGAAACAGTAGGAAATAAAAAGAAATGAAATCAGAAGAACCCAACAAATTGAGTAAAAACGACGTCAATGTAATCTTTTTTTGTATGTCGTATATATGTCATGCTTCCCTCTGTCCCTCATCCTCCTTCACTGTTTATTATTCACTGCAACCGGCATATATACAAAAAGGAACAGAAAACGTAAAAGAAGATGGGTAAACAAACTATTACGCAAATATGAGCTACTGAAAAAAAAATATGTGTAATTGACACGCAAACAAGTACAAAGAGATATAGAACACCTTAAAAAATATATGCCTTATTTTCATAATTTAATTATCACATCAAGAAATGTTTTATACACAGTTGGGTTTCATATAATGCTACCTTGTTGATGTGTCATACAAAAGGTTCTGGTAAAAATACAGATATAAAGTTAACTGATCGATTGGAGCTGTATTCGTTTAAATAAAAGACGGGAGACAAATGAAACAATAATTAACATGAGTATAACAACACCGAAAACGACAACCAAAAACATTTGCTCCAGAGAAAAACAACAAATTTATATCAGAATCACAGAAACACTTTTCGAAATCGCTTCACATCCTTACAACAGAATAATTTTTGTTATATTTCGCTAATCAGAAGGGAAATGTAAAACAAACGGTTATTTGATCATTGAAATTTCGTTTTGATCTGCTGGATATATGAACTAAGACAAAAGACATTCAAACAATGAACAACACATGATCTGGCAAATTCGTTACATTTCACATCAGGACAGAAACAATAGGTAATTGAACGAATTTGAAACAATGGTCGTATCAATGACAGTAAAAAAATTAACATAATAAACACGGTTCAGAAGGAACGAATGAAATCAGTAAATAAGAAGCATAAAAAAATATATCAACATTAAAGGTTCACAATATGAGGAAAGAATTTATTAACCTTAATTAAGTCGTATCACATAAGATCTTCAAACGTAGATTATGATTATCTTTCGACATCTAACCAGAATTATATGAAAAGACTGAATAATATTTTTTTTTAGGAATTGTCCCCAAGACATCAAAAGATTATTACCTTCAAATATGAAACTTAGTTATTAAGTATATATTCGTATAAGACGGTTACATTTAGAAATACTAAATTCCTAAAGTTAGGAAATTAGGGAAAGAAACCTGTAAACCAACGATTAAACTAAACTGATGACTCACAATGCCTCAATGTGTTAGCGAATAACAGCTATTTAATTACTAAATTGAATATAGTTTCATCATCTACTTAAATTGGTTACTAGAACAATTGTCAAATAAATCATAATAAAATATTATAACAATGAATGAAAAAAGAATTGACGATTCACTTTATCGAGTGAACAAACTTTTGAAACACAATGTTAACACTACACCTGTTCTCTATTATGACTAGTCCTAAATAGTAAGGGGAGACAATAAATGTATGTTGGAATGAAATAATGTTATTCGACTCCCCAGAACAGAAAGTAATTTGCAAACTACTCAAGATGCGATTAAGTTGCATTCAGAAAACTGAGACTATAGTTTAGTGTTATAGGAACTCCAGTTACAACTGAAGGGTCAAAAATATGAACGTAGCTTCAGCTACCCTGTTACAGTGATATGCTTAAACCTTATACCATAGGTGCGATTAAGTATCAGTGCACATAACTGTACTAGTTATTAAACAGTTTTTTTACGTTAACATGACTGCAAAAACTAAGGCGAGTGAATATGCTGAACCCATAGGTCACACAGCATAGACAGATTTTTAATACAGTATAAATTCAGAATATCGAATTTCAGAGCTGTATAACAAAAGTGATGACATTACTGTACTGTCGAGCAAGTAGAGAGCGAGGATACAATTTATTAATCGCACTGAATGAGAATCGTACTTAATCATGAAATGACTGAAATTCGAATTCTGGACCACTGATTTCCGGTTCACAGTGTGATCTAAAAGTCTATGAGCTTCATCCAACATTGGCTCGCGGGTATATGCTGTTGAGAAGTTTCGAACTAGGACGAAAACATTATCCAATATTCTCTGATTTTAAGTGTTTCTCCAGTTTGAGTGAATTCATCAGAAAAGTTAACATCTAACCTATGTGTATGTTACTTTCTCTTAAAAAACACATTACACACCAATATTTATCTTTATGGCATGACGCTTATTACTATAGTCATTTTAGCACAAAAATCACTGATTAGTATTCAAGATAGTAAAACAGTAGGGTTTTGGGGACAAAATTGTACAAAAATGTTTACACATGACATATATATATAAGCGATTCTCAACTAAAATGTAACATATATATGGATGAACAGTTATACTTCCTGTTGAAAAACATATATTATCTAAAACTAACCATCCAAAAATCAAACTTAAATACAACACTCTTTAAATAATCATACCATTCTGGAACATAACTTAGTTACTAAACTTCCGCGAAAAATATAATGGATAAATAAAATCATGGAGGAAAAAAATTGTTACTTCCATAAAAGTTTTAAATTATGCCTAATGTAATGTAATATACCAAATCTACTTAAGTTATTTATATTTTAAATGCTGAGAATGTGTCTTGCATAAAGAGTTAGGGAAAGGTTGTTCATAAAACGAATTAACAAATTCTGTTGATCATTTAAGGCTTCGAATAGTCGGCCCGTGATGTAACCCACCTTCAAATTAAACTATCATCATGGAGATCCAATGTCAATCAATAAAAAGTTCCAATAAACTTTGTTGATTAAAAAAGTAATCAAATGATGTGGTATTTAAAATAATATCAAATGATTTTCCTTTCGACAAAGACTACAACCTACTTCGATACATTATCAAAACTGATAACAATAAGCTATGTCAAAAGTTTACTTCTCTGCTGTCTAATATCGAAAATCTATTTTGCGAAATAATTGACCATGAACATTAAACATAGTTTAGAGTATCTAAACGAAATAAAATTGTTAAATGTTTTCAAATTATATATATATATATATATTTGATTGAGTTAACAATATGGATATACAATAGGCATTTTTTAAAATCAACCGCTATTCAAAGGACGTTCAAACCAATCTTGAGAGAATAAACAAATTAAATCTGTGTAGAATTGTATGTCTTTCTCGAGCTTTAAATCATTTTTCAGAGGGAAAGATGGGACTCATTCGAAATCTTACTCGTAATATTGTCAGCCGCAAATTTAGGTGTGATTTCGATTAGTTAGTGTTGTCACCGAGTTATATTATCTTATGTGAACACAAATACAGTATGTTAAATAACTCTTAGACCCTCATTTACTCTTATTCTTCACGTTTACTATTGAGGCATAAGTGGTTGTCTGAAAAGTATTCAGTTACAGTAAGCTAAACAAATAATTTTACTACAAACACTGTCAAACTTTAGAAACTACCAAATAAATCAAACTTCGTCATTGTTTAGTAGAAATGTGTTTGATTAGCTAACTGATTAAACATTTTGTCTTTAATCATGTTACATTTTAGACTGTGGTGATTGGGTGGTCGACTGTGTTATATCCGCTTCGCCACTAGTGTATACAGACCACCAACTGTTATATCTGGAGTGCTGTTGTTGTTATGTGGGCACCAACTCTGTTGAGTCCTCCAGCCCTACTGCTTACTTGAAAATCGGGAACCACTGCAATTCCTCGATCCTGCGGCCTACACTGGGAAACAGGAACCGCTAAAACCCCTACGACTCAAAGTGAAAACACAAAAGACTAATACAACGAAGATTTATTGACAAGCCAAAAACACGTCTCCAAACAAATTGCAGCATCACATCATCATTAGACCAAAATACAATCATTTATACACCGAATTTCACACATACTTCATAATAACAGATAGAAGTACATAGACTTAGTTGTAAAGACACACTCTGAACACAGTTCACTTGAATGTATACAGAGAATATAGCTGAAACACTGAACAAAAGTTTGCACTTGTCATGTTGAACGGGATTTATACTGAATCGATACAAAAAATGTCGACGTAAATGATGTCAGCTTTCTTATCCCGTTATATCAAGTTTTAATTTTAGTTTCAAATAAACTAATTTTTTCAAAGAAATTTGAAATTCTTAATAAGAACAACAGTTTCGATAGTGAACTGTGTTAAATACTAGAGTTACTCTTCAAAGATAACAGATTCAATTGCAGCTTCTAAAGACCAGTATTTCATACGCTAAATCAATTTTCCAACAGTGAATACCCAAACCATTACCTAGAACTCGAGACAAAACCTCAAAGTACTAAAAACAAGTATAAAATTAGTAAATTAATTATCCAGTAATCGCTATTTTTCTTGTAAATATGGAACAAGCTGCTCCATATTGGTGTAAACAGTGGCAAAGAGGGAATTACAGCACAATCAACTAAAAATAGAGTAAGTCAGGGATAACTTATTTCCACAAATATTAATTTAATAACATACATACACGAACAAACTTGATCATATTCATAATATCAAAAGAATAATGTCAATAATAAATATATGTACAAAGAGGTATACAAGCAACATTTAAGAGTTGAACCTGCCTCTTAATATGATGAACAGATAAAATTAATTTGCAACCTGAGCCTAGTCTTAATATATAGTGATAATCAAAAGAGTTAATAAGCTGAATATTCTATAAATGTTGACGGTTAAATGTAAACATATGCTGTGAAGCAACTCACGTTTGATGCAAGTACACCAGTAATGAACCATATCGATCTGAAAATACACTTTATTTACTAGCCACCTCAGTAGAAAGAGAACTCAGTCTCTATACAATATTAATGGTCGATTACTATGATCGGGTAACGTAGTGACAATAGACAATTAGATTCTATTAACAACTAGAACGAGCTATCAGAAAATAATGATTGTAGTAAATAACCCCCGATCTTAAACTGGAGGTACATCAGATCATTCAAGCCTATTGGTAACTACATTCCCACTACTTTCATGAACCAGAAGCTGAAAAGCTCCAAATTCGTAGATTTTATTTTGTATTATGATGAAAGTGTATACTATTGAAGGTTTTAGAGATAATACAAAAGAGCCTCCACTATTTACCAGTTCTTAAAGGCTTTTTAAGTGGTTTTATTACCAGATGAGGTTCATTTTTAAATTAATTGATCGATTAACACACCACACAGCCCGTATGTGAACATTAGGATCCGAATTTGAACAAACAAGCATTTTATTTATTTATTTATTTATTTAAACACATAAATATTGGAACAAGGGGACACCAGATATATATGCGCCACACAAAATAATGAGAATGGGAAGAGAAAAGGGGTAGGATGCATATATATATAAAAAATAAGAGTAATGATGGGGGAAACTGAAATGTACAACCAGAAGAACTCTTTCAGTTAAGGAAGTTATGACCACTCTCTTTATGAAGAAAGTAAAATAAGGTTACAGAAGGATCGCCACTGGTTTCTATTCTGAGCCATATCTGATAACGTCTCTAGCCACTGTGTTACACCATCTCTCGGACCCCAACCAGGGAGTCGGGAAGGACCAACAGAAGCTAGCCCTTTGCAGCTTTCTTTCATGCCACAACACCATGTCATACACTGACCTCCTCTCCGCTTTTTCCAACCAATCCCAGCGTCGGCAAATAATGCACGACGAGGAAGTCTCTGGGACGACATTCGTAGAACATGTCCAAGCCACCGAAGTCGGTGTTTCAAGATAGTGACACCAATTGGATTATCGTCTCTGCGCCCGAACACACGGTGCCGAACCTCTGCATTCCTAACATGGTGTTGCCACTGGATGTCAGCAATCCTTCAGAGACAACGATGATCGAACACAGAGAGTCGTCTAACATCCTCAACTTGGAAAGGCCAGGTTTCACAAGCATAGGAACATACAAGTGATTTAGTATTAACTTTTACGTTTACTATAAGACTGTCAATTTTACAAACCATAAGTTACTGATATAAGAACTTTCGTCTAAGTTTGATCGAATAGTTTCACAGTATTTGGGTGCCGAGTTGATGTGAGACATTAAAAAGGAATAATGTATTTGTAAAATCTCAGTGAATGAATTTGAAGTGATTGTTTCAAACGGCTGTGAAATATTAAAAATTTAAACGAATCAGAATATATAGCTGGATTTGTCTAATTACGAAACGTTGAACCTATACAAACATTTAATAAGTTAAATAGAAACAAAAAATATGTAAATGTAAGCGAATCCAATCACCGTGTGTTTCCATAAAACTCTATCACTTATTTATATATCAACATGAATACCGTCGATTCGGTTCAAGATCTAAAAGCATTTCTTTCTTATTTCATTAGAAAAACCTACTTATTTATAGAAAGTTCATAAGCACACATTTATCATTATCTGAGGTAGTTAAAAAGATTTATTTTTCTTTGCAGTTTCAACTATGTGTAGATCACGAAAATGTTAAATAATTAAACAAAAACTATCATTATCATTGTACGGACGTAATCAGTTAACTTCTGTCGTGTTTAGAACTATAAAAAAATAATTTGATATGCTGTAATGATAAAGTCGAAGATAGCCAATACTTCCCAACAGGAAAGTGTTAATTGAATCAGCCTAGAAGTCTAAGGAAAAACCAGATATATCATCTCCTTTCCAAAACTTAGCATTTCCCATTACAAATCTAGCTGAGCCGCGAAATTCCCAACAACCGCCGCCAGAAAAACCAGTAAACCAGAGAGAGTGAGGATAAGGTTACCAACCCCAGCTCCGGAGAAACAAAACTACTATAAAAACACTAACTGGAAGAACTCACCTAAACTCTAGCATCAGAGTTAAAGAGTCTTCATATACATCATTTATGATGCCTCACGGTGAAAGCTGAGATTCTTCAGAAGTCACGAGGCTAATACTCCTTCCGGCAAACAGGATGATGATAAACATGGGTACGCGGAATATCCAAACAATATGGGAGATCAGGAGTACTATACCAAAAGACACGGAAATGGACAAAAGTAACCTGACCGGGATTGAAATAGGAGCAACTCATTGTATTCAATCCGGACAAAAAAACACTAACATGAGGAGAACTGTCACCGAAGTCTAGTCATAAAGAATAAAGTGCCCTCCCACATACACAAACACAAGGAATTCTACCAATCCTGTCAAGATAAGAATAGAAGAGCTTTCGAATCACGTCTTTTCCCTTTCTTCTGGTTGTTCACTGGATTATGAAGACCACATCTCAAGAAAAACACGAGATCCAGCGGACACACTGGACGCAGCTGAGTGACTGGTCTTGTAAATGACTTGATTCTTCAAATGCAAACACAACAACAAATGCAAAGACAGCCACTGTACCAGCAGCTTTTGCAGTAGCATGCCTCAACGCAGAGGAAATATCAAGATTCTAAACATAACACATTGAGAACCAGTCAAATCACACTTACTGGCAAAGCCTCCGAAGAGGTGGGAGCCTTAACGTAACTGGACAGGATCGTCAATAAACTAGGATCCGATGGAGATGTAAACGTACTAGTCTGTACTGAAAGGGCAACACTCCTACAACTGAAGAATACCTGTAACTCAAAACAACCGTCAACCACTACCAAAGTAAGAATCGTCAACATTAACGTTAAAACAATTCTATTGTATGGGGCCGAAACTTGAACAATTGTCACCACCATCACCAAAAGTATCCACAAACAACTGTTTACGTGAGATACCCCAAATCCATCGACCAGAAAACATCAATAACCTACTCTACCAGAGAACAAAGCAGCTCCCGGTTAGGGAGGAAATTAGAAGACGCTAGTGATGGATAGGAAACTGCAGAAATCATTAAACTACATCAAGGCAAGTCCCAACACGGAATCCTCAAGAAAGAAGGGAGACAGAATGTATCAAGGGACATATAATGTCGGAAAACGGGAGCAGAAATCAAGACCAGGAATAACACTCAGCATCAACTGAAAAGCACAGCCTAAGACAGGGTGACTGAAGATCGCTGGTCGGGGTAACATGCTTAATTAAGTTATAAAGAGAACGGCTGGACGTTGAGGACATGTTTTGGAAAGACAGACTAGAAAGGCATGTATGAAGTAATGATGCAATACGGGATTGAGACGGAGGCAAGGAGAGAATATATCTGTGCCATTGTGAATGATTTGTAGCCATGTCACCCAGTTTCAATGACTACCACTTATTCAACGAGTATCAGTTGTGGTTTTTATTAAAGATCCCGTTGTTATAATTGTCTTTCGACATATATTACACATGTAGATTTAACGGTGGATCAATTGACTTGCTTTATCAAACCAACGAAAACAATCGATAATTTTCCATTTCGAAAATAATTAATTATTAGAAAAAATCAAAATTCTCAACCGAGTTTAAACCTAGCTTATCATCACCTATGCATAGCCAGTTGAACATTAGCTATAATGTTCAACAATTCGAAATAACTCCTGACAAATAAAACTTGGACTAATCATTCAATAGAGATGGAGTCTCACTTACTGAAATACGTTTACTTCTTGCCCATGATCTTCCGGACGGCCTTTTGCTCGTTTGATCAATACTTACATGCGTCACCTGCTCATTAATACTACTCTCTACCAATGACTTTGAAACTTGGAAATCATTTGACTGAAACGATTTGTATGAAAGTTTCTGGTTATCATGATGTTCAACTTGATGTGGTTGAATCATGTGAAACTGATTAAAAAATTTGTCGATGTTTTATTGCATAACACTCACTCAGTCCACATCAAATGGGTTTTCATCTCAACAATCTAAATAAATGAGCAGGAAAGATTCAGAAATTAGTATACACTTTTAAGGTTCTAGGAACTGTGACTTTAAGTACCAGATTGATACAAAATTTCACAACTAACCTGAGATCATCAGTCAATTGATTACCTAGATGGGAGGAACAGTTTGAGTAACAATGATCAAATAGCTGTAACTGCGACTTCCTTAATAGAGTCCCATCGACAAATGTAATGGATGTGTATTTCTTGGGATGTAAGCCTTAGTTATCCTAGTGCATGAAAAACAACGTAGCTAGTTGGCTTGAATGACTATGCTACTTTTTTCAAACAAGTAACAAGCACAGAACAATTGTAAGAAAAGATTCTACTCTCATTATGTGTAAACCACATGATGAATAATATGTACTCCATTCAGTGAGTTTTAAAAATTATTCGAAGCCAAATACAGTATCTTGGGAAAAGAAATTAGTCCTATGGAATTCGAAAGTAATGTAATGGTTCCTATAACAAATTTTTAAAAAAAGCCCCCAAATGCCCTGGTATGGCCGAGAGTGGGGAGAGTCCGCTCTCCTCCAAATACTCTCACATGGCCATGCGTAATATAGCCTCTGCCAAGGAAGTCCTACTCACTGCCTTCTCGTGACGGGAGTGTTGTTTACGAAATTGAGAGGACGAAAAGCGAATGTCCGGCGCTTCAACCGGGTTGGTGGACACGGATATTCCACCTAGGGGAGTTGGAAAACCCTGATTGCAAACCAATGGTGCTCATGGGCTCCAGTATCCTGAAGAAACAAATGGCGTATGAACCAATTGTTGGTCACCGGTTACCATGGGAATGCATCGCCTCACAATGTTTCACTGCCTTGTGAATCAGACCTTTAGGTCGAAGGCTCCGGGTGTGGCCCCCTAAGAAAACCACCTGCTTCAGTTTGGGCACCTCAGCAGTATCACAGCCCTCACACAAATCTCACTTGATTTGTGCGGTGTATCTGGTGCTTCCTTGTACCAATATTTATGTGTATAAATAATAAATAATAATAAAACCTAAAGCTTGTATCAAGAAGAGCTACTAGTTTTGATCGGTAGGTCTGCGTCTGCTACATAGTTTCAGAACGCGTAGTTGTAAATGTTATCGACAGTTAGTAACTTTTTGTATTTAAGTAAAGAACAGTGATAAGTAAAGTAAAAATACCGCCAAACCTTTGGCAAATCTTTGATTTTCTCCTAGTTGTTATAATGGATTTGAAGTGTGCTACATTTAAGCTATATGTTTCACCCCATACGAAATACTATAATTCACCATTTGAATAGCAATCTTACAATGTCCAATACTAGCGAGATGATCAACTTACAAACACCGCAATACCACCTTGAGCGAAAACAAATCAATCGCTGGATTACCAAGACAGTTCATAGTTGAAACGTAGCTGGTATGGAACCAAAGGAGCCAACTACATAAACATCCCCTACACTGAAATTTTAGAAAAATACCCTTTAGATTTAACACATCATCTCATCACTCGGATTGAACATATACATATTTACTCATGTAAAATCACAACAATTTAAGTTGCTGTTTTTTTTGTCAATTTTCCACAAGTTACTAAACCGTTTCAGGAAAATTTTGCATGAAAGTGACACTTCATAACTAACTAGAAATGCACCATCACTAAACGGATTAGAGGGTTGATGAGTATAAATATCTACAAAACAGAATGCTTATCTCCAACAGAATATTAAGAGTTTTGACTAAACACGAAGCACTAATAAAATGAACAACTAGGTATAATACAAGACAATGTATAACTCGCAACAATTTAATCATTAAATGGGTGAAGTCAGTGCAATAAAGCTGAAGAACTTCAATGACCGATAAACCTGACGGAGGTTTCATCCTGTAAATCGTAATATAAATGTGCAGAAAAACTAGCTTGCAGAGTAAAATTAAAAGATATTCGTAAATGGTGACCGGTTGCGTATCAACGTTGCTGTAAACCAACTTCAACCTGGTTACGCACAGAATGGTGCTTAGTTTAAGCGATTCTCATAAATGAAGTCCTAGAACTTCCCAATCTGGTAAAGAAGTTGAGTCTGACATTAGACAATAAGAAGACTACGAGTGTAACCACCAATGCTATCAGTTAAGCTCTTACCACGGATAGAAAGATTGAGACTCGCATGGTCAATACACATGAAGAGGGAAAAACATGAGCTCAGAATGTTGTTATTAGTAATCTTTTAGTACTGTCATGACAATTAAATCACCACCCATCAAAAGTGCACTCACTTTAAACGCTGCGGGGTGAAAGCAGCTGGACGATGTGCAGCGAGCAAAACTCCCTGATAAAACTCGGTGTTTTGAGGGTGAGACCCAAGCAAAGAGGTTCTTACATTTTTTACTTGAAACTAACGGTGGAAAAACGTTATGTTATACAATTCATATGAAATCAGTAACTCGAATATTCATATGCAGCCAGTGTTTACTTGAGGATGGAACGAATACTCAGGTTAAGTTAAAAACCCAAAATAATAATGGCAAAGCGAACCTTGGGATTCAGGATTTCCAAGCAGTGGTCTTTGGAGTTAATGCTTTCGAGAACTATATGGGTAGAAAGGGCGACCAAGAAACACCGTATGTGCTGTACAAAGGTTCACAGCCTTCGAAAAACCCAAGAATATACTATAGCTATACTATAGAAAATACTATAGCTAGCTCTTGCGCTATTTATAAAAGACAATCGGTACATCAAACCCGTACCTTCCCAAAAAAATTCCTTTTGTAAATTAATCAAATTACAAAACTAAGTGGTTGCACCGCTAATATTTTTATTTACTTTATTCGTATGAGAGGAAATTCTCTTAGTAAAAGAATCGTTTTCAGTTGTAATGACCCACCCCCCTGAACATTGTCATTATTTTATCCACTAACTTCTATTCATTCTGTATTTCAAATTATCTCAAACTTTTTTTCTGTCTCTTCACTATCTCATTTTCTTACTGTGTCGCTTACCCCTTCGACTGAAATATCATATATACAATTAATAGGTAAGTTTCAAATCAAAGGTAAATTGATAAACTATGGAAGTGGCAATAACCTAAAGGTTTATAAAAAACTTTTACAAAAATACCCAGAACCACAATCTCTACGCAGTAGGTCAAGACTAAGTGTCCATAAAGCACATCAAGGTCGTTTGCTAAATATCTAATATCTTCACGAGACCGTATACAAACTATTTGGTTGACCATGTGTTCGTACATAATTATTAGGTCTATTCATTGAGTTGATTGTGATCACTTCAGCTGTAAGAGTGTCCTAAATTGTGTGTACTCTTAGTGAGAAAAAGTGAGGACATACTTGAGTTTTCACTGTTTAATGTTAACGTTCTCGGGAATTCCCTCATGGAGTACAGTGATGAATCCCTGGTAGGATATTCGTGTTGAGATGACTTGGAGTATCTGGTGTATTATGGGACACTATCAGACCATCTATTATTCTATAACTCAACGAGAACAATCTTGTATTGGGGTCTATCTTACTGAGATTTGTTTCTCAGTCTGATCACTATTCTTGCCCGTTCCTGTACTCTATGCACTTTTTGATGACAGACGGTTTAACAACGTTGTGAATTTCGAGATCAGACCCTAAGTACTTTTCGAAGTGTCGAATGCAATTCTGGAGTGATTGCACTAAGCTGTCTTCATTAAAAGTGAGTAGTTACATTTGCTTAGTCTACACCTGCAATGCCGTCTAAGCTCCGTGTGATTACTAGTCCTAGATTTCGGTCTAAGCAGATGATTTACGGTAGATCATCATAGAAGATGCACATTTTTTGTGTCCCATGGGGCTGAACAAGCATAACGTGGCATTTAGATAAGCTAAGTTTCAGTCCATTGCCCACATCCCATTCCCTATTAAAATGTGGTTCTTTTACGGTCAGAGTTAATTCTTTCCGCCTCTCATAGACCTGTATATCTTACTATTTTCAGTCTATATGAGGGTCGATGATCTTATTTTATCTAGGAGGTAGTTTAGAACAAAGATAGAAGTGTGTCGGGACCTTTTCTATGAAGAATGGGTACCTTAATATGTCAAACGCTTATGCGAAATCAAGTGATGTTACACGAATTGTTACCTTTGGTCAGATTTCTCGGTCGTCCCATGTCAGGAGAACATTGACCGCTCACCATCTTTTTTAAACCATTGCTGGGCTTCATGAAGGATGTTGTTTCTGTCCACATGTTCCCGCATTTGGTCACTGACCAGTCTTTCCATTGCATTCGTCACTACTGGGAGTGACTTTACTGGCTTGAAGCAAATGGAATATAAATATGTATGAGTCATATATACATAGTGATAATAAAACGAGTCTGAGAAGCTAATTTGAGTACAACATAAGAGATTGTCTTAATTACAAACTTCGGATAATTAAGAATAATAATCATTAGGAAGGAAGAGAGGAAAAGAAAATTCTGGAAAGAAAAAAAAGAACACCTAGTGAGAGGGTTCAAACATGCTAATATCGACCTCCGACTTACTTACTTACGCCTGTTACCCTTAATGGGGCATAGGCCGCCGGCCAGCATTCTCCAACCCACTCTGTCCTGTGCCTTCATTTTTAGTTCTATCCAATTTTTGTTCATTTTCCTCATGTCTATCTCCATTTCTCGGCGTAATGTGTTCTTTGGTCTTCCTCTTCTCCTTTGACCTTCAGTGTTTCGTACGAGGGCTTGCCCTGAGACGCAGTTGGGTGCTTTTCTCAATGTGTGTC